ATCTGACTGGATGATCTGGTGAACTGGAAAGTGACCTGAGATGACATGATATGAATTGTCACTGTAGAAATAAACTGAATTGAACTTTGTGGACAGCATGACTGACGGTTGGCTGCCAGAAGCCCTCCTCTGATAATGCAACTGCTCTTCCTATCATTGTTATCAGGCCGTCTTTAGACGACACACCCTGCCAGGCGTCGACTCGCTGCAGAGCTCTGTTCTCATCAGATGTTGTTGTTTTTCAGTCAGCCAATGAAAACAGTAGCAGTCCTTGGAGGAGGCATCGGGGGTTTGGCCGCATCGTTTTACCTGTGCAAGAACCCCCAGGTTACCAAGGTAACGCAGCAAACACCAGTTTTACACTCATTTCATAAAGTCCTTATTGATTTAGGGCAGTATCTCAGTGAAAACTTCCACATTGATGTGATTGATGATGTGAAACCTTTCACTGTCAAATAAACAGGAATAAAGCCGATATGAGAAAACGGTGAAATTAATACATTTAGAAAGAAAGAAGCATCCAGATTGTTATTAAATAAACGTGGTTCATTGTTCCTCTGTAGCTGTTCAGTAGTTTCACTGTTATGGATGTCAAGTTGTTTTTTTACATCATGCCTCAGGGTTGAGTTTCCTCTGGAAGAAACAGGAAGAACATCCTGGTAATGGATCCTATTTTGGAAAACTGGGATCATGACAGGGGGGAAAAACTGGTTCATTGTCCCAGGCCCAGGACAGAGGGGGGCTAAAATTGATACTCTGACCATTAATAATAAAGGCAGAACTCATTTTTCAGGAAATATCTGCGATAAAAATATTGAATTCTGGAGTACGGTAACTAACTAAATATATATATATATAAATATATATATATATATATATATATATATATATATATATATATATATATATATATTTAAATATGCTTGAAAAGTAGTGTAGCTTAATATGGCTAACTGACTGAGCTAAAAGAGGCTAACCTGTTAGCTACTGAGCACAGCTAGCCACAGTGCTACCCAGCTCTCCCCATTCATATCATGGTCTAACAGTTACTTTGTTCCCCAGAAACAGATTTATTTCAGTTTTTTATCAATCAGGTAAAACTCATTAGACACGCTAACGCTACAGATGCTCTGACTCGGCACACAGGCGTGCGTGATGTTATTATCGTTGTCTGGGCAACCACAATGATACGTTCAGCCAATCATGTAGCGTAACGTCACTGGCAGGAAACAGGACCCTGGCAGAACTGGTACCTACAGCGGGGGTTTGAATAGGTTTGGGTTAGCTGTTGGTTTGAATGGTGGATAAAGTAACACCTTTCTCTTAAATAGAAGATCTCTACAAAGCTTATTTTTTAACCTCTGAATAGATTTTTGTTTAAACAAACTTTTTGACTTTAGAAATGATGTTTTGTGTTGTAATCCCAGAACATTAAAATGTGTTGATCTGCCATCAATGTACAGGTAATCGTTTTGGAGTCCAGCAGTCGTTTTGGCGGCTGGCTCTGGTCGCTGAGGCGGTCCGATGGAGCGGTCTTTGAACTGGGACCGAGGGGGATCCGACCCGCCGGAGCAGTGGGACACAACACACTCAATATGGTTGGTAACACCTCAGTGGTTATGTTGCACCTGCTGCTTGTTTCCATGAAGGCTGCTTATTGCTGCAGTTTTTCTATATGGATTTTAGATCCAAAGGAGGAAACCATGGTAACGCCACTTGTTTTATATTTGATAAACAGATCAGGAGGGATTTATGTAACAGGAACGGAAGGAGTAAACTTTGATCCTTGGGAGATGACAGCCTCACAGGATGAGGGTTTAGACATGTGGCATCATGTAAGTTAAAGGAGAAGTCCAGTCTGCAAGGAATAATCAATGGATTATTATTTATACCTTAAACTAAAACGTTCACGGTAATTTAATGAATTTAGTGTTAATCAGTAAAAAAATAAAAACAATATTTTCCGTTGCGATCACCGAGTCTGGGAGCGGCCATTTTTGCCCAAATATAGTAACACCTCCCTCCACATCAGGTAAAAGTGAAGAAGAGTTGGATTGCCAACTTGAAGAGGGAGGATTTGCCATCGAACTTCTGGCCAGAGAAAAAACCCGTAATATGTAGCCAACATTTGGAAGAAGAATGTTTTCAAGATGACTTGGATAATAGCGCGTTGTGACAAACACCAGATACAGCACTGGGACTTGATCAACAGCCGATACCGCACCGTGACGTCACAAACCAGTAGGTGGCAGTAGTGTTCTTTGACAAACATGGATGCCTCCAGTAAAACACATTCACATGAAAATTACTCTGAATTAAAAACACTGATCATTTATTGTAATAATTTCATATTTAAAGAACTTTCAGAAGTTTGAATTCTGAATATTGGCGGACTTTTCCTTTAACTTGAATATTCTGACCTGTTCTGCGTTTCCTAACTTTATGGTGTGTTTCTCTGGGTGCAGATCCTTTTTACATTTTGAGGATTCTCACCCCCAAAATTATAATCTTTTATTTCTTTGTATTAATTAAAGGTTAAAGTAAATAATTCAGAAGCAAAAAACCTAAAGAAGGATTTTAGAGAAAGGTGAAATAAATCAATCAATGTCAATAATAATGTATGTAATCAATGTAATGTAATAAATATCAATAAATAAACCCTGGATGTTGCCTGCAGCTCACAGCATTGAACTGATGAATGAATCTACAGCTGTTGTTTTAATAATGACTTGTTTCTGTGTGGCAGGTGGAAGCTCTGGGTCTGGATGGAGAAATTCTTCCAGTTTCCTACAGCCATGATGCCTCTAAGAACCGGTTCCTGTACATCAATGGACAGCTTCACAGGCTGCCCTCTGAGATGAGGTAAAGGGATGGTCAGAGAGGTAGAGAATTAGATTGATCACGTTCTCCCTATGTTTTTATTGATGTTTATTTGTTTTCTTCAGGACAATTTTTCAAACAGTCCCTCCGTTCTCCCGTCCACTGGCGTTCAGTTTAATGAAGGAGTTCCTGGTAAAAAAAGGAAAAGAAGCAGACGAGTCCATCCATTCATTCGTCTCTAGGAGGCTTGGAAAGGAGGTGAGGAGAGCTTGACTGCTTCTTTGGATTCAGCTTTACAGATCATGTAGGTTAAAGATGTTTCTAGAGGTCATCAAAGGTCAACCAGCCCCCCCACCTTCTTCAAATCAGACAAAATGGGTGTCAATTAACTCAACTCCGTTTGTGCAGCAAAAATTTCCGTTTGTGCTCCTTTGGCCCAGGTGTTAATGGTAAGGTAAAGGTCAAAAGGTCAACCAGCCCCCTTCTTCAAATCAGATGAAATTGGTGTCAAACATTTGTGCTGCATTTGCGCAGCTAAATTTTCGTTTGTACTGCTATCATTTTAAAGATATAAAGAAATGTTTCTAGAGAATGTTTCAATTAACTCGGCTCCGTTTGTGCTGGTTTGGCAGCACAAACATGACACCAATACGGTCTAATTTGAAGAAAGTGGGGGGGCTGGTTGACCTTTGATGACCTCTAGAAACATCTCTTTATATCTTTAAAATGGTGGCGGCACAAACTAACATTTTGTTGCACAAACCAGCACAAATGTTTGACACCAATTTTGTCTGATTTGAATAAGGTGGGGGGGGGCCTGTGTTAAACTCCAGACAGCCACTCCACTCACTCAGCGCCTGTATAAACTCAAGCTTATACAGGGGCTAAAACTGCTAAACAGATGGGTGTAGTTAGAAAAAAACAGAAAAAAACTAGAGCAATGTGCACTTTGTAAATAAAATGATGAAATACAACAAATTATACAACTGAAACTGGCCTTTAAAGACATAATATTGCTTAGGTGGCCCGAAAAGTGTCCACACCTGGTGACCCACACACCTGCTTTGGGGAAGTAGAATGAAAGGTTTTATACATCTGCATCTTTTCTGTACTTTCTTCTCTTTTTGATATGAAAGCTGAGCGTTCCTCATGCTTTAGGCCTTTAGTTAAATGGGTTCAATTCAGAATTCAGTTCAATAATGCTTTATCAATCCTAAAAAAGGAAGGTGTAGGGGGGGCTGTGTTATCCTGAGCCCTAGCAAAGCTGTCAGCTGGCCTCGCTTCAGATGTGCTGGTTTATAGCTGCAGCCTCTCATGCCTGAGGAATGCTGTTTCCTTGGTCAGTACGAGCCTCGGCAATAATAGTGTTTGACGCTGATGCAAATCTCTTAGAGGAGTTCATTGAAACATTAGTCCACTTCCTCTTAGGTGTTAAGCATACGTCCATGTGACTGCACTGATTCTCCTAGTGGCAAAACTGGTCAAACAGGTAAAGAAAAGAATCCTGCAGTGAACGCTGGGACCCGTTTTTTAATATGTTGTTACAGAAGCTGTGTCTGTTCGGGCCTCCATTATGACAGATTAATAAGACACATTTCAGGCCTGATCAGCTGCATGTTCCTGCATTTTAGATCATGTTTCCTCTGTGTTCAGGTGGCGGACATAGCCATTGACAGCATGTGTCGGGGTGTGTTTGCGGGTGACTGTAAGAAGCTGAGCGTGCGCTCCTGCTTCCCTGCCCTCTACAACGCTGAGCAGCAGAGAGGTTCCCTGACCCTGGGCATGCTGCTGAGCTCAGGTACATCAATTCATTCTCTGAGTTCTTATATCTCTATGATGCTGAGTGTTACCATAGCACTCAAAATGTAGATCAATTATTTTATATTACAGCAGGTATTAAACATCCCTCTTTTTTTGTCATAAAACATCTCAGATGAGTGATAACCAGCATTCATCTTTACCTTCTAAAGCCAGGGGTACACTGTAGGATTTTATCATTGCACGCAGCTACAGCTCACACTGTACGATTAAAACCGCAGTGTTTCGTTGTACATTGTGAGATCACAGCTCGCAATGTTTGTTCTCACACTGTGACCCGACGCTCTGATGCGATCTACCTGCTCACACTGTACGTCTAAAAACCAGGTGGGACTCAGCTCCACAGTGAGATGGCGCTACTCGGACTCGTCTTTCCAGAAGCCAAATTAGTAGAAGAGGAATATGAAGCTCACTAGAGAGAAACGCGCTGCTTTGGGCAATTTTATGCTGAAAGCCCTAAAAAGAAAAGGAGACGACGTATTTGTAAAAAGACATGGCTGAGCAAACGTGTCTGTCAGTTTTACAGAAAGGGTTTTCCTCTGACAGAAAGAAGGAGAAGAAGAATCCTTTTTTGCCCTTGACCAGCTTACTACAGCCAACTGAATTTCAAAACATGTCTGATTTTCTCCCGACTTTATGATTCCTGATGGGAGGTGGTCGTTAGCGGCTGATTGCCTCTAGTTACCCCCTGTACACTACACCACGCACCATCAGGCTGAAAGTCGGCCTGATGGAAAAATTCTTGCACATTGTAGAATATCCCTTAAAAGGACAAAAACAATCATACAGTGTATGTCTGGCTTAAGCTGCTGGTTTGCATAAGTCCAACTTATTGTGGACCTTTTCCTCATTCCTTTATGGAAGATCTGAAATGAAAGTTCCCAGTTGCCAGTGAATGCAGCATAATGACAGCTACGTTCCCTGTTTGTTTACCAAACAGGGAACTTTTATTTGCTGTATGTTATCTGAAAAGTTTGATTGAACGAAGATGACAGGTCTGAAACCTCCACAGGGTCGGCTCCTGTGATCCCTCCTGGTAATTTGGCCCAGAGAGCGAAGAAGGAGTCCTGGGCTCAGTGGTCTCTAAGGAGGGGAGTAGAAACCTTCCCAGAAGCGATCACTGAGTATCTCCAACAAAGCGGCAGAGTGGAGCTTCACAAGAATGCAGCTGTGAAACAAATGATCCCCACAACATCTGGATGGAAGGTTGGTAGGAAGAGTAGAAAAACAAGTATAAAAATAAAAGGTTTTCATTATTTATTTTCCATGGCATCTTTGCCAAAATAGTCGTTGTCATGGAGATTGTCATGAAAGAATGACGATATTTGATAGACTCCCAGCTTAGAGCTTAAAAGGCACATTTAGTAATTATTAAACAGCGTCTTCTAATAATGAGGGATCCCATGATAGCAGGTTCTAAAGTACGTAGTGATTAAAGCATCTTTGCCATTTATGTTCAAACTGTACAATGATCCTTTTAAAATAAAGTTTATATGTGCATCCATCCATCCATCCATCCATTTTCTCCCGCTTAGTCCCTGCCAGGGTTGCGATGCCTATCTACCTGGACAGATCTCCAGTCCATGGCAGGGCAACACAGAGACAAACACACACACAGCAAGGCAGCAACACTAACCACTGCTCCACCGTGCAGCCCTTACAGCAAGAAGGTTCCGGGTTCGATTCCTGGCTCTGGATCTTTCTACATGGAGATCTCATGTTCGCCCTGAGCATGCGTGGGTTCTCTCCGGGTACTCCGGCTTCCTCCCACAGTCCAAAAACATGACTGTTAGGTTAATTGGCTTCTCTAAATTGTCCTCAGGTGTTAGTGCGTGTGTGAATGGTTGGTTGGCCTGCAATGGACTGGCAACCTGCCCAAGGCGGACTCCGCCTCTCACCCATTGCACCCCTCTTAACCACAGCAGAGATAAGCCTGACGGAAACTGGACTGGTTCACAAAGAAAATCCACATTTCCACGTTTCAAGAAAATAGAATTTCACATTTGGAACAAAATGTCACATTCCTGAAAGTATTTCCATTTCTCTGTATGCCATGCATCACAGACGGATGCCATCTCTGTGGTAGATGCAGTTCTGTGTGGTTCTGATTGAAGCCCAGGTTGTTTTTATAGCTGCCTTCTCTGCTCTGGTGTATCTCACCTTCTTCTTAACAACAGTCCATAGAGTCTCTTTGGGCTTCAGATCAGGTCTAGCCAATCAGAAACAGGAACTCCAAGGTCCATAATCCAGCCTTTGGTACAGTTGGGAGTGTGCGCTGAGCTGGTGCCAAGCTGTAAAAAAAGGACTTTGTACTGTTGAGCAGCTTTTTTTCTCCTTAGCCAAGGTACTGCTGTTCTGCCGTTGTGTCTGATTGAGGACAGGAGGAACGTGACATTTCTAGTTCAGGTCTAGATCTGGTGGCTCTTGGTAAACTGACTCCAGCCTCACCCCAAACCACTGGTTTGGTCTCCCTGTAGCTGCTACACGTTTTCATAGCACCCTTTTTTTCCAGCTTATTTTAATTACACTCTCACAGGTACAGAGCAACAAAATAAACTCTCTGCATTTAACCCATCCCCTTGGGGAGCAGTGGGCTGCCATTGTGCGGCGCCCGGGGGGGACTGTGGAGTTAAAGGTCTCGCTCAGAGACCCAGAGTGACAGTCTTTGGGAGTGGGGCTCGAACTCAGAACCTCTGGAATCCAAGCCCAGCGCCCTAACCACTAGGCTCCCACTTCTTTCTTCCACTTCTATTTCTTAGTTGTTCTTAATACTTCTGTATCTTAGTCTGTTGGTCAGTGTGTAAAACACTCGGTGAGTCCTGATCGCCTTCAGCATTGCTGTGAGTCTAAGCATGCAGTCATGTGGCTTTAAACGGCCATTTTTGTGTAAAGGAAGGTGTTTCCCTTCATGTACCAGTTGATGCTAACAGCAGCGGCAGTACGCACCCTGATTAGCAATCCCAGGAAGACCTGGGATCTTCCAGTGCTGCATGAGGACCCCTTTAATCAACAGCTGTTGAACTAATGAAACAATAAAAGAATCTGTGGAAATGTCCTATGTATGGAAAGAACAACTTTTCTCACAAATGGTCCTTTTAAATAGCCAAAAGAAGCTGCGTGTTATTTTGCAGAGGAAACATCTGTGGGTTTGGTGTTGATGGATGTCAGTCAGTCATTGGAGGACCAACACGTCTGAATTCAGATCTGTCCAGGTTGTTTACAGCAATTCATCAGGAGTCTCAATTCAGTCCAGCTTATTTCTATAGCGCCAATTCACATCACGTCATCTAAAGGCACTTTACAGTTCAACCAGATCATCCAGTCAGAT